CAACGGTCGCATGTAGCACCTTCGTGGGCCACATGAGGGGTGCAAGTCGCTTCTAGTAAGCTTCATGATGCAGGTCAACAAGAATTAGAATTAAGTCTAATTAGAATTCAAATTAATTCTAATAGCTTCTTGTTACTACTAGTAAGGCACTTGTTACTAGAAGCGTGGCACTTGTTACTAATAGCACCTTCGTGGGCCACATGAGGGATGCGAATTTCATGCTTTCGGACGCCGATCGACGGGCTACCAATTTTCAGTTTGAAATAGGTGAAGACGGTGGTGGTGGTAGTAGTAGTAGTAGTAGTACTAGTAGTACTAGTAGTAGTAGTAGTAGTAGTAGTAACAAGAAGCTACTAGGGTGGAGGCCATCGCTACTAGTAGCAAGGCACCTTACTACTAGTAACAATAAGGGAGTTTGGCAAGAAAAGGTGAACCTGCGAGGACACAGGCTTCCTTGGGGAATCGTCTCACCCGCAACAACAAGGGTTATTGTGTTTTTCTAACCGGCTGCCCCCCCTCCCTACTAGAAGCTTCCTTGGGAAATGTTTTGCACTTTGATGCTCAGTGCACCCACTGGGAAACGGCGCACAAGATTGCTATTTAACAAGAAATGGTGCTCCAACCTACTAGCAATGGCCGTGTTTGAATTTGATGTGAGGACAGAAGAGGTACCAGCATGGTCAATCGAAGCAATTAAACATGCACCTTTGTGGGCATTCACGTCCAATCTTTGAGGCGAACACGGGTGCGCGTTGAGCTTTTCATCTTTCCTTTAAGGAAGATTACTGGGAACAAGAAGCTACTAGGGGCTCCTGGTATCGCTACTAGGAGCAAGGACGCTACGAGGGGCTCCTGGCCTGACTACTTGGAACAAGAATCTATTTGTTGGAGGATTCCAGACAGCGCCCAAATCACTGGGAGAAGCCCCTAGTAGCGTCCTTGCTCCTAGTAGTAAGGCCAGGAGCCCCTAGTAACCTAGTAGCGTCCTTTTTGAAAACTCCATAAAACCATATGTTCTTTTTGAAAGGACCACTCAGCATGTTCCTCATCACCCTCAGGTGGTGGACGCCTCCGTTTCGCAGAGCTTCGCTATCCCAGCCTGCGACAGGCGTGCGCCGGTGGTATTGCACAGGTTGTTACAGCATGGTTTCTTCACTTACTTTCTCACAATCCTTTTTCTCACGTTGTGCAGCATTGCCCTTTCACTTTTTATTGTTGGCATCCCTCTTTGGACGAAGGCAACGATCTCTTCACTGCATTTGCTTGTTGCCCGACAGGCCAAGATAAGGGCTGTGCTGCTCTATTTTTGCACCTTCAACTTCAAACGAAGAGCTTTTATACCCTTGTTGCGAAGGCGTGAAGAAGTGGTTCGTGATACGGTTCGGAAGATCCTCGACAGAGGGGTTTCTTTAGACCTTTAGACCTTTCCTAATAGCGGCCTCCACCCTAGTAGCGTCCGATCGCTCCGTTCGTAGCGATGGCATCAGGATATTGCCACCCAGTTACTCAACCCATTGCCACCTGTGACTCTTACCGTACCTCTCCGCTTCCTGCGGTCTATGACTCACCTTGTGAGATAGTTTCACCTTGCCAAATTAATACAAAGAAGACAATGGAAAGACCAGCGTTTATCAAACGAAGATCTTAAAACGAAAAAGGTGCACGAAAGGCCTTTTGAATGATTGTTCATCGTTTTGGCCCCATTCCTCTCAGAGGTGAATGGGTGCGGAAGGTCAAGGGACATGTATGGAGGCGACATTCCATGAATCCACCTGGTAGTAGCTTCTTGTTTCTAGTAGCAAGGCCAGGAGCCCCTAGTAGCATTTTTTTCTGTAGACCTTTAAATTTTAGACCTTTCCTAATAGCGATGGCCTCCACCCTAGTTGCCGTTAGAGGAAGGTGCAAACAGACTGGTTGGCCTTAGAGCGACCACTTTGCGTGGCTTCGAGCCCACGCTGACCATTTGTGCCGTATTTGTATTTTTGTTGCTTAATTTTAATTCTAATAGCTTTTTGTTACTACTAGTAAGGCACTTGTTACTACTAGCGTGGCATGTGTTACTACTATTGGGTTGGAGGCCGCTTCTAGGTCACGTGCTCCAGCTTTTGACCTCAGGCATCTCATGGTAGCCTGCACACTCACCCCTGCAAAAGGAAGTGGTTTGCTGTGGGAGGGAACAGGTTGTAATGCAAAACTTTTTTGTGGGAAACTGCAATAACAAGGTGTAAAGAATGTCGCAGACGAGCAACCTTCTTCGTACCAAGAAGAGGCATGTGATGTGCTCAATGTTTACAAAGAACCGCACAAAACCCTGCTTTGTCCAACAAAGCCCTGGTCGTCTCGGTCAGGCAACAGTTGTACGATGTCCAGACCGCGTATGACATCTTGCGGCTGTGGGACTGGGGTTTCGAATGGTTCCGACAGTCACTTCTTGCTCCGTTCGTAGCGATGGCCTCCACCTAGTAGCGTCCTTGTTACTAGTAGCGATGCCCTTTGTTACTAGTAGCGAACATTGCTCCTAGTAGTAAGGCCAGGAGTCCCTAGTAGCTTCCTGCTCCTAGTAGCGATGGCCTCCAACCTGATAGCGATGGCCTCCACCTAGTAGCGTCCTTGTTACTAGTAAGATGCTTTTCAAGCTTGGTTGTCTTGAGGAGCTATATGGACTGGATTGGCCATATCGAAACAAGGCGAGGATTGGTGAGAACCACACACGACCTAGAATCGTTCATGCGACCTTGGCAACTGCCGGAATTCGCGACACAAGAGCAAACTGGAAGACTGTTTGATGTCGCAAGTTTGGTTAATAAATCGCGACCCACGCTCCAAGTCACCAAGTTTAAGACGTTCTTAACAACATTCTTGCAGGCATTGGTAGTAGTGGCAAGAAGTAGTTCAATCAAGGACCAATGCCAATGTTTAAAATTCACACCAGCAATTTCGGGAAAAGCATTCGGGAAAAGATAACTCTTAGGGCCTCCTGGCCTTACTACTAGGAGCAAGGACGCTACTAGGGGCTCCTGGCCGTACTACTAGAAACAAGGTTCGCTACTAGGGGCTCGGAACAAGAAGAGAACTCTTAAAATGTCCCGAATCCAAAGAGGTCATCGCTCTTAGGGAGGCCATTGCTTCTAGGTAGGGGGGGGCAGAGCGGTCTTTAAAAGTGAGCGGCACGCCATGGGCCCGTGTTTTGAATTAGAATTGATTAGACGGACTTGGAATTGTTTAACTTAGAATTGGATCAGAGTTAAATTATGATTGAACTAGGATTAAATTATGCTTGAATTTTGCAATAAAATTTGAATTAAACTGGAATTCAAGTAGATTTGAATTGGAAGTAAATTTGAAATTGAATTAAAACTAACTTATAAATAGATGTCCATTAAACTAAATTAGACAAACAAAAGAATTAATTAGACTTCAATTAGACTAAATTAGAACCAAATTGGATTTGGATCTAAGTTTTATCAAAATGGAAACAGTGATGAATTGCAATTACAGCTTCCACATGTTCATTACAGTTTCATATGTCAAGCTGCTTGGAAATACAACAGCACTGATACCAACCAGAAGTCAATGCACACAGACTTGTACATAGAGATTTGGACAAGTACAAAGGGAGTGTTGGGCTCAGACGCTTTCAATTGTAAGAAGAAAGAACAGATGACTTTAGGTGAGACTTGGGTTCAAATGCTTGGAGATTGAACGAGATAGGAACAGCACAGATTGTCTTAGAAAGGATATGTCCGAAAAGAAAAAATACTGTAGCGTCCTTGCTCCTAGTAGTACGGCCAGGAGTCCTTACTCCTAGTAGCGATGCCAGGAGCCCCTAGTAGCGTCTTTCATACTAGAGATTCTAATTGAAATTAGTTCAATTCTAATTAGCCTTATTTCTAATTACTTTTAATTCTATTCTAATTCTTGTTGCTGGCAGTAAGGCCCTTGCTCCTAGTAGTAAGGCCAGGAGCCCCTAGTAGCATTCTTGCTCCTAGTAGCGATGCACCTTGTTATCAATAGCTGCCAACAGAGCCCCAAATGCCAAATGAGTCGACACAAGCAATGCATTGCGGGACCAGGGGACGGCTCGAAAAGAACCTGCGATCAGGTCAGTCCCAGCTAATCAAACAACGAATGCGTCAGGAGCTCCTACTGCGTTGCTTTGCTACTAGGAACATTTAATTCTAATAGCTTCTTGTTACTAGTAGTAAGGCACTTGTTACTACTAGTAAGGCACTTGTTACTACATGTTTCTTGCCAGGTTGTTCACTACGCGCGTGCGCCCAGCCACATAGGCTAAGAACGACGCCAATCGCGACTGGACGAACAGAGCAATTTCGAGGAAACAAAGCACAATAGCGGAGCAAAGGCCGTGCCAGGACGCTAGCCTCGCTACTAGGAGCAAGGACGCTAGTAGGGGCTCCTGGCCGTACTACTAGGAACAAGGTTCGCTACTAGGAGCAAAGGGCATCGCTACGAACGGAGCAGTTTCGGTGAACATAGCCGCATTAGCTCCTGAACCAAGGCAGAACACTCAAGGTCCCGACGGCCACAGCCACGGCGGCGCAAACCGAGAAAAGGGTGCAAAAAGGTCCAAAGAAGGAGAGCCTGACGAGAGCCAAGGTCCATTATCAAAGGAAGAGACTCTTCGGTTTTCAGAAGCTAGGACGCTATTAGGGGCTCCTGGCCTTACTAGGAGCAAGAGGACGCTACTAGGAACACAGGGCATCGCTACGAACGGAGCGTTTTTGTGCAATGCCCGGCCTCCAACCTCAATGGCCTCCAACCTCGTTGTTGCTTTAAAAAAGACACAAAAGAACGCCATCGTGTCACTCCAACAATAACCCACAAAGTGTCCAAATGGGCAAGCCCTCGTGGAACCCCAACTGCAATGTGTTCTTAAATCTAGATTTGGATAGTATGCAAAGGGTATGGGAACGGAATGATAAAGGGATGGCCTCCAACCTAATTGCATAAATGAGTCCCACCGCCACACCGAAATTCAGAGGTTGGCTTCTTCCTGCTCAGACAGCATGACCCAAAAGCTTCCGAGGCACGTTTTGTTGGAGACGATGAGCTGATGTATTTGAAGCAATGCACTTGTTCTTCAGCACCTCCGTTTTGGCGGAAAAAATAGAAATAATACACATATTGTTTGGCGCATTGAAATGCATTGAGATGCAACGAAACGGCAAGGCTTTGCGATGACGAGAGACAGACATCATGATGGTTTGTGAGATCGTCACTCTCTGTTTTTGTGAGATCGTCACATAATTTGCATGAAGAAAATGAAAGATGGCCTCCCATCGCTATTAGGTTGGAGGCCATTGCTCTTAGGTTGGAAACTTACACAGGTGGTCTACTTCAATGGCAAAGCCGCACGGGACTTTCGCCTGGAATGGCAATCAGTCGAGGAGAAGCATCGGTTTTGGAAGTGTTCCTTGCTCCTAGTAGCGATGCACTTGCTCCTAGTAGCGATGCACTTGTTCCTTCGTAATTCCGGTGTTGCCCAACTCCTCTTGCTTTTTGACTATCGCTCTTAGGTTGGAGGCCATCGCTAGTAGTTTGGAGGCTGCTATAAGGTTCCTTTTGCAGGTATGACTCGCTTCAATAAGAAAAGTAAGGGTTTGACGCCACTAGGGTCTCCTGGCCCTACTACTAGTAACAATGTTCGCTACTAGTAACAAGTGCCACGCTAGTAGTAACAATGTTCCCTACTAGTAAGGCACTTGTTACTACTAGCGTGGCACTTGTTACTACTAGTAAGGCACTTGTTACTAGATTTGCACTCCAAGGACCGAACGCCGAAGTTTGGACGTGTTTGGCGGATCGTTTTTTCGTTTCAGGAGGATCAAAAGCGTCCAGGGCAGAAGAGAAGCAAGGAAGAAAACAGAAAGAACGCCCTTCAGAGGCGGGAGAACAATCCAGCCAAGGATGTTTGTTCTTGTTGGCCTAGGAGGCTATCGCTTCTTGGTTGGAGCCTGTTGTTCTGGTTTGGTTCTTGTTGGCTTTTTGGTGCCTTTTATGTTTCTTCTTGGACCTTCCGCGTCTCAGCACATGAGACAGTTTGCTGAGAGGTTAGCTGAGCTGAAAAAGAAGAGAAGATATCGGGATTTGGAGGAGCGCTTTGTTGTACCGCTGCCAAGTGAAAGTGGACCATGACATCATTCAGCAAGTACTCGTTGAAGTATTCGGCCAACTAGTTGGAGGCCATCGCTAGGTTGCACAGCTCTTTCTCCCATCGGCCACGTGACGGGACCTCATGAGTTTCAGAAACCATATCGGTCCTCCAAACATGAACCGGTGTGGACTGCACAGAGCTTTGCTTGTACAAACACGAAATCAGCCAAGCAACCTGTTGCCTTTTGTACGCAAAGGCTGGTTGAACAAGGTCCAACACCGAGCGAAATTACCAAAACGCCGACGCTTCCAACCTGGCTTTGGGTTTGTCTCTACAGATCCTTGGAGTTGACAAGAGTTTTGCTCCTAGTAGCGAACCTTGCTCCTAGTAGCGATGCCCTTTGCTCCTAGTAGCGGACCTTGCCAGGAGCCCCTAGTAGCTTCTAGCTTGGAGTTGACTAGGAAGGATACTGTAGAAATGCGCAGAAGGGGAAGATGCATGTGAAACACGTGAAAGCCGAGCTCTCATGGGCCTCCAAGTGGCAGCACTGACAGGTGACAGACATAAGACAAGAGTTTTGTTACTAGTAGTAACAAGGGCATTAAATACTCCTAGGAACAAGGCATTTCTGATCTCATTCATGCTACTAGTAGCTTCTTGTTACTCGTAGTAAGGCCAGGAGCCCCTAGTAGCGTCCTTGCCCCTAGTAGCGATGCCAGGAGCCCCTACTAGCTTCTAGCTTCTGCCAATTAAGTAGGCACCTACCTAATTTAGTAAGGGAGAAATCTGTTCGCTACTTAAGCAACGAGTTAGCTTCTAGGAAGAGGACGCAGGATAGCTCTCGCACTAATGATTTGAGTTTTAGTTGTTTGCTGGTTTTGTGTGGGGCCACTCACTCACTCACTCACTCATGCTCTTAGGGGGATGTGAGGCTGCGCTGACGCACGTGTGTCGGCTTGGGTCGAAACTTAATAGCAATGGCCTCCAACCTACGAGCGATGGCCTCCAACCTAATAGCGATGTTCTCAATGTGCTGAGAAACACTTGTGTTCTGCACGCTCTGTGTCAGCCTGGGCTTCTGTGATACCCACGATAATACTTAGACTTGAACCATTTGATCGGAACAAGAACTGGATCTGAAACTGAAACTGGATCCCTCCAACCAGCCATTTGGAACTGAAATTGGATCTGGAACTGGATACCCCCCCTCCAACCACACAGCTTCTTGGATGGGCACACTCTGGCAGCCGCAGACAAAAGGCTGATCAAACAGGCAGAGGAGTGGGGAGACAAGGCAGCAGCAGCAGCAGTAGCAGCAGCAGTAGCAATAGCAGTAGCAATACCAAAGCGCTGATCAGCCACCCAGTCATTGCGAACAGCTCTTTGAAAAAAAACTACTAGCGGCCTTGCTCCTAGTAGTAAGGCCAGGAGCCCCTGGTAGGTTCTTGTTCCAAGTAGCGATGCCAGGAGCCCCTAGTAGCATCCTTGCTCCTAGTAGCTATAATAACCCCTAGACATCATGTTTTTCAAAAATGACAAGGCCTTCAAAGGGGGTAGGCCGCAAAGCTACTTGTAGCGCTACTAGTGCTTGAGCGGCTACTGCCGATCAGATGCAGGCTAGGCTTAAAGATTTGTTTTGGTTCCTAGATGTTCGGGGAAACTTAACAGCTAGTGTTTGTTGGTGTCCTGCGTTTGAAACTTATCCAAACGGACACATTGATCTGTGGCTGCATTTAGCGAGGATGTTCTGAGAGCCTCTTTTTTGGACAAAAAAATTTGGGAGCGTTGTGAACCAGACTGCCTTACTAGTAGTTGCAATAAGCTACTACAGGCAGTAGAGGGTCGGAAGATGTCGCATTGTCCCTTCTTACCTTTTCCCAACTTTTCTCAATCTGCAACTCGCCTCCCCATTTCTCCCGGAACCTCTTACCCCGAGTTTTTGCAACTCGCTTGACTGGACGACTGTGCATGAAATTGTCCACTGCGAACGGCGAAAGAAACCAAATCGCCTGGACTTGACGATGTTGTAAACCAAAACCTAGGAGCAAAGGACGCTGCTAGGAGCAAAGGGCTACTAGGAACAAGGTTCGCTACTAGGAGCAAAGAACCATGTGTTTTTCTTTAGGCCTTTCTTCCCTTTTTGTAATCCAGTCTTCGTTTTAGACATTTGTCCCTTTAACTCTTCAATCCTTTCTTCTGTGCTTCTTGAGACCTGTCTTCCTTTTTTCCCTTCGGAATTGTTCTTCCTCTTACCTTCAGCCCTCATTTTGTATTGGATGTTTTTTCCTGTCTTCCTTGTTCACAGAACCGCTCCCGAGTTCTCGACTGTCGAAGCTACTAGGAACAAGTGCATCGCTTCTAGTAACAAGTGCCTTACTGGTAGTAACAAGAATGCTACTAGGGGCTCCTGGCCTTAATACTAGTAACAAGGGCGCTAGCAGTAATCATTGAAGAACAACTCGGAACTCCAGGAGATACAAGAAATTCTGGTCTCAGTGTCTGTGCCACAGTGATGGCCTGAGGGATGCATGCCGGACATGCAGGGCACAGTCTATGACACCTGTCCAAATGAAGACTTTAAGAGCGATGACCTCGAACCGAAGAACGATATCCTCCAACCCAAGAGCAATGGCCTCCAGCCGAAGAGCGATTGCTTTGGACTCGTTGCGGTCTGAAGGCTTTTGGAGGCTCTGGAGACTGGACGACTGCCAGGTGAGGTCGCAAGAAGCAGAAAAGCACTGTTTTCAATTGGCGAAGCAGTGTCAAAAGAACTTGTCAGAGAAACAGACGATACATACGGCTGGGATGTTAATACATTGATAAATCAGTTGATAGGTAACCAAGGATAAAACTATCCAAAAAAAACAAAAAGATAGTTCAACTCTGTCCACTCGCGCAGCACGCGACATGTAGACCAGCATGGGGCATCAAGTCTCCATTGTTTGAGTTCGAACTGCCACTCAGCGGCTATCTACAATGTTCCATCCTACTCGACTCTACTGACTCTACTCTTTTAGGTTCTGTTCCCCTTGCATTCTATCGATAGCCAGCTTGACGCCACGATGTTTGTTCCTAGCACCAAGCGTGAGACAGGACAAAGTGCCCCAAAACTCCGGATTTGCCAGTGGCAACAGCAGGAAGCTACTAGGGGCTCCTGGCCTTACTACTAGGAACAAGAAGCTATCATGCGCACACCTCACACGTTTCAGGATATGGGCACTCGTGTCCGTTAGAGAACAAGTCTTTGATGCATTCTATACTATTTGTTGAGAATTGCTTTCAGGAAGAAAAAAACCCAAAGAATATGCTTTGTTCCAGTGCTTGTCTTTTCAGGTGACGTTGACCTTCACAGTGTCGAGGCGAGTGCACCTGGTGTCGTTTCGGCGTTTGCTTCTGCTTTTGTGCTACAGGCATGGATTCTAGGCAACGGTGCCAACTTTGCGCATGACCGTGCCAGTGACCAGAAGCTCTTGGCAAAGGCAAGAAATTGACATGCAAAATGGTAGCTTGTAAGCTAGGCGTTTGGAGGTAGAGGATCAAGAGCTTGGCGCTTTGCCGCCCAACTTGTCACAAAGACACCTGCCAACTCGTTTGGTTTGCTTTGTTAGTAGCAAGGACGCTATTAGGTGGAGGCCATCGCAAGTAGGTTGGAGGCCATCGCTAGGAGCAAGAAGCTACTAGTAGCTGGAAGCTACTAGGTTGGAGGCCAGCTACTAGGGGCTCCTGGCATCGCTACTAGGAACAAGAAGCTACTAGGAACAAGTGCATCGCTTCTAGTAACAAGTGCCTTACTAGTAGTAACAAGAAGCTACTAGGGGCTCCTGGCATCGCTACTAGGAACAAGAAGCTAACGTACAACCTTCCATCTGGCCCCCAAGCCGAAGTAGTGAAGCGAGCGTCAGACAAGACAACAAACGCCTCTGTCTGGGTCCGCTCGGCTGCTGCACTGGCGTAGAACTTCATCAGCCTTTCCTGGCATTAGAAGCCAGGGCCAAACCAGGCAAAGTCACATATTTGGTTACTAAAGTAACAAGTGAATCGCTACTAGTAGCTTCTTGTTACTAATGGTAATGCCCTTGTTACTAGTAGCAATGCCCTTGTTTCTAGTAGCTTTTTGTTACTGAATATTATGATTGTAGCTCTTGTTTAATTGAGCAAAACCTGCACCGTTTCACACTTTGAGCTCCTCCCACTCTCGACACTTCTTCCTGCCCAGTGCACTTTGTGCATCTTTTTGTTTTTGAGCTCGATTGGCTTCCTGACGGTGGGAGATTGTGGTCTCTTCGGTTCACGCGACGCTTTTGACGTGCTTCTTCGAGGACGCTAGTGGGTTGGAGGTCATTGCTATTAGGTTTCTCTTTTACTTTTTTTTCATTCTTCCTTCTTTTCTCTCTTTTTGTATAAAACGAAACGTGCTTCTTCGACCGGTCGTCTCTTCTCTCTCCTTCTCCTTCACTTCAAAGAGACGCCTCTTCATCGCCAGCTTGTCGGCGGCAGCACGCTGGCAAGAATGCAAAACAGTTTTCGCGTCTGAACGTCCTTGCTACTTGTAGTTTCTTGTTCCTAGTAGCGATGCCAGGAGCCCCTAGTAGCTTCTTGTT